CTGAAGCAAGAGGCTCATATTCAACTCTAGTTCCCCTGCAGAGCCTGGTTCCAGTACCTGGAGCACAAAAGGTACTAAATAAGGGGTTGTTAATTCGGAGGCTGTGGAAGCCAAGATTAGCTACAGCATATGAACAGGACCGCCTAGCCTGCGTTCGCATTCAGAGATGCTGTCATTTCTCCCATCTTAAGAAGTAAAAGGCTGTCTCACGATTCCTTTCTTCCTGTCTGGCTGCTCTGTGTGGATGTTCCTTGTGTCTGTATTCACCTGGACATCCTCCTCCTTCTCCTGGCTGATTTCTGTCCTCCTTGACCCACCCTTGTTTCCCCTGCTCATTTGTTAAGTGCTCCCAGGCTGACTCATGACTGTAATCACTATCTTTTTCATGACAACTCCAAATTAATGTTCTATACCTGGGTCTCTCCCCTGTATATCCATCCACGTGCCTACTTGCTATCTCTTTTGGACATCTAGTATCTCAAACATCATTGGTCCAAAACTAAACTCTTGGTCTGCCCACCCACCCTTCCAAATCTGCTCCTCCCACAGTCTCTCCCTGTCAGTCAGTGGCAGCTGCGTCTCTCTGGTGACTCCTGCCAGAGACCTGGTTTTTATCCTAACACACCTGACATCCGGTTCGTCAGCAAAACTGATGGCTGGACCGTCACAGCATGTCTCAAGTTGGACAGCATCTTGCCACCTGCACTTCTGCCTTCTCACTCCAAACCATAATTGTCTTCCCTGAATCTTCGTAATAGCCTCATAACTGAGGTCTCTGTCTTCACCGTGGCCTGCTACAGTCTGCAGTACACATGGCTGCTGGGATAGTATTGTTGAATGTAAACCACATCAAGTCCCTCTTCTGCTCAGAATCTTCCCATGGCTTCTCAAGCAGAGAGAGTCCTTCCAGCAATCCAAGGTGGTGTCCCTACCCCAAAATTATGCTTCACCTTCTCCGAGTTCACTGCGCTCCGGTCACACTCAGGGTTTCAGACTCATTTGCACCTTTCCCCCTTTTCCTCCTCCCTCGATGTCAGCCTCTCCCACTCCATTTCCTTTTTCAGGTCTCTGTTCAAATGTTATTTTCTTAGTAATTCCTTCCCCAATCCCCCATCCTAGCAGCTGCCTTGCCCTTACCCACCAGCCCACTCCCCATGATGTTTCTCTAGAGCTAGCCCAGCGAGACACTGCCTACAATACTGGTTTACATTGGTGTCTGTCTTCCCCACAAGGATTTAAGTTCCAAGAGGACAGAAGTTTTTGTTTTGTCCATCTGCTCACCACTGTATTCCTTAAACAGTGCTTGGCATGCAGTTAGGTACTCAATAAACACTTGTTGAATAAATTAAGAATATTGCTGGATTTTTTCCTCCACATTCAGGGTCAGCCTTGCACTAGTCACCACTGTACAGAGTTCTGCAGCCAAGTTGTCCCCGAGGCCCTTCCTGACCCTGCCACTCCCCTCCTTTTGGGAAGGCTTCCCAGTCACTCTAGGTGAAACCAGCCCATGCTGTGGGCAGCATGGTCAGTAGCTCTGGACATCACTGACAGCCTTCATGGCCTTCTGGGCTTGTACCCTTGGATCTTCTGGGAGAATTTGTACAGCCAGTTCAGTAGTCAAAATTGGGCCCAGACCGCAAGCCAGTGGCTGAGTACATCGTGTTCTCAGCCTGCCTTGCTGCTGTTATTTAATTTAACATTGAACACTGGGCCAAAGCGGATTGTTTTCTGCCAAGTTGAAAACCAGCTAAATACTGCATTGGATAATCATTTATTTCTTTTGAGTTTTTCTTACATGCTAGATGTCATATCTGAAGTCGTAAGCAATGCCATTTGGCTGAAATACCACTCTTTCTCATTTTCTTGGCCATTATAAAAACAATAACCAGAGCTATCACTAGGAGTCAGTAGAGTGGGCATCTGTGAGGATTATGCTATATGATTCTAGCAGTCTTTCAGCCTTCTGTAATATGTAGCTGATTCATCAGTGTAATGAATATAATACAGTAGCAGGCCTGGATAGTCTCCACAGATAAATGGACACATCTAAGTTTATTCTCTTCAAAAGGAATTAAATGCACACCACTGTCCTAACAGAATGCACACAAGAAGAGAAAATGCCTTTTAATAAATGATGAAAATTTATACAAAAAAGAAAAAAGTTTATACCATTAGAAACCTGGCAAGAAAATAACAAGACAGAGGGGGATATAGAATGAAAACAACACTTTTGCCACAGCAGTTTGTAAATTATACTGTTAAATTCATAGATTTGGGTGAGGAAAAATAAACAACCATCAGTTGCAACCATACTCTGTCGAAATTATCCCCTGTCCAAGGCCTGCTGACAGGTCATAACCAGAACCACATGTTCCCAAAGCAATAAAAGGGGAGAGAGGAGTATCCTGTCTAAGGAGAGCCTAAAGATACTCATTTCAGGCAGGGATAGAGGGGCAGGGCACAGGGAGGAAGGCAGGAACTTCATGGGCAGGGGTCCTGGAGTCAGTGACACCCACCCATCAGGTTATCGGAGGGCTGTTTGTGTTTACACTGATGCTTCCGTAGAGTCCTAAACCCAAACACTAGAATCCACCCAATGGCCAGTCCCAGGCAGCCCTCCCACCTTTTCTGAGTCAGTGTCCTGTTTAACGTGATTGCCACCATCATCACGTTGCAACTATGTCAGGCCAACATAGAACATTTCATTTTCTTGACCCGCAATGTGAAATGAGTTAAAAGTCAGTGCTAAGGAATGATAATATGAGTGTACATAGGCTGCATAGCAATGTGCATGCTGCTTCCTAAAGGGGACAAAAGCCTGCAGGTAACCACTCCTCCTTGGCCCAAAGCAGAATAGAGTCACTCACCAGTTCCCGTAGAGCCAGGCCCTCCTCTATGAGTGTTCACAATGTATGCATTACATCTGTGCCATTTTTTATATTGAAATGTCTTAAGTTAAATAAGTTTTTCTAAACTTTTTTGTCCCCAAGTGTTGCATTTACTGATGTAATTTAGTTACAAAACATACTTTAACTCTTTTATTTAGGAAATATACATGGATAACCAGCTATCTATAACTAGTGAAATAAATAGAATGGCTTCCAGGATGTCAACCCTTGGAAGAATAAAACCAATTTGATTTTATTTTAAAAATTTGTTTTAATTGGACACAAAATCAAAATGGAAAAACATTAGACTTTTTACAATTTTGTGAATTTCAAATGTTACTTCTTTTTGTATGGATGGCTTTTTTAACAAAAAAAAATTTTTTGATCCACATATACATTTTATCTTTAGGTTTTTCCTAGCAATTTATTTAATGTAACAATTTTCTTCCGGTCGACCACCTGATGATATGTTCCAGTAGAATATTGGAGTGGTATATTTCAGATGTAATTACCCTAAAGGATAATTAATATTAATACCTTAAAGATTTAACCAGACAGCTAGTTTGAGGGATATTCATTGACTTCCTCTTGACATTGTCAGAAATAAAATTGGCCTGTAGAGCCTTCTTCAGAAGGGTTTTTATTTCATAAGGTGTGCTTTTTGCATCATGGCTGCTGTCATTGCTGCTGCCAAATGATTAGAATATGCTTTGTCGTGGAAACACTGATGATCTTCCGACTCTTTTCTCCCCTGACCTTGACTTACTTCTTGGGGTCAGTCTAATGACTACAGCCATGTTCAGGAGGCAGAGCCTCATGTATAAAATCTTAATAGAAATAAGTTTGAAAATAAAGATTATTTACATGTTCCTGAAGGAAACAACAACAACAACAAAACAGATGGAAGGTGATACCCAGCACTCCCTTTCTCAGTGATGACTCATTTTGGAGTTTGTCCGCCTGGTCTTGGTCTGCCTTGCACAAGGGCGCAGACATAGTGACAGCTAAGGTTTTCATGAGTCAGGTGACACATGAGTGGAAAACCCCATAATAAGGTTGTAAGAGCTGGTTTACAAACACTCCATTTTAATTACGTTTTTTACCAACACTAAAAGAAATTTCTAAGGAGGAAAATTTGGACATGAAGTTTTTACTTTCAGAATGACCTGTCACCTAGTAAGGGTGGCGTCATGGCTCAGAGCATTATCACACTCTGATTTAAGAAGTACAAGCCCTTTTAAAAAAGAGCCTTTTTAGGGAATTGAATATTACATTCCTAATATATTTCATCCTGAATGCATTTAGCTGAGGAAACGTATATTTCATCAGACATGGATTTGACGTTCTATCACATTATACAGTAAACAGGACAAACATGTCTCATGTTTTAGACATGAGAAAGGGATGCTAAGGCAGCCATCACCACTGTAAGACCCTGATTGTCTCATTTAAACAGATAGTACATGTGGGTGCCAGTGGTGTGATCAGCAGCAGCTTCCCACTTTGGGAATAAATTGCTTAGAAGGAGTCTTTTGCTTACCAGATGTGACCTAGATTTAGATTTCCAAAGGCAGGGGAAAAACCTCTATTGTGTTAAAAAAAAAAAAAAAAAAAATTGCTGGTAAAATGCACAGCAAATGAGCATATCTCAGTTTTCCAGGTGTTTGGACTAATATGTTATGGAATTACTGCTTCATTTATGAAAAATAATTGAGGAAAATGTTCCAGCAAATCAAATTTGGATAAAGGCTTAGGGATAGATAGCTATTGTGGTGTTAGTAAGTTTTTAAATGGCAGAAAGAGCAGGAGCCAATAGGGATAATAAAATATATTTTTTTGAAAAAACTGTTTGAGAAGAGTCTCTTAGAAAAGGGTCAGGCATGGATGTGCTATCCAGCTTATGTTATGGTTTAGTAAAATGTTGAAGAACAACGTGAACAATTACGCTCCTTTCAGTGCATATGAAAGCTGTTTAAAAAAATCAAAGCTTGTCTGTCTGCTGGCTCTGATAAGCCTTATTACTCTGTTAAATGCAGCAAAATTTTAAAAAATGTGACATCTTTATTCTCTCTTACCTACTTTCTCTCCTTTTTCATTTCCTTTCATCTTCAGGTGCTGCCACTCCAAAACCAGTCCCAGAACCCGAGAAACAGACAGACCATACAGTTAAAATTGCTGGAGTCATTGCCGGCATCTTGCTGTTCGTTATTATATTTCTTGGAGTTGTGTTGGTAATGAAGAAAAGGTGAGCTCCTAGCTGTTGCCAAAAATACAGTTATATCCCATTGTTTTCTGGACTATTTCGTGTGTGTGAAAATACTCAGTTACTGAGCTGGCTTTGATAACCTAGACACATCTGTGAGTCTGTGATTGTTAACATTTTTCATCATGTGGCATGGAAGGTTATGGGACAGAAATTTAGAGTAAATGGCTATGATGCTGTGTGAATATGCAAAGCATAGCATGCCAGAATTACGTAAGCATCCTGTGTCTTCCCACACAGTGGTAGATAAAGCTCTGCAAAATCTTAAAAGCCATGTATTTACTAGGAAATGTTTAGTACTGATTTTCAACATATTAAGACATTTGGTAATCACAAGGACATGAGAAGACTTCCTTCTTATTACATTGAGGATGATGATGATGATGACAGAATCTATGGGGCCTGTGTACGTGCAGGTATCATGCTAGGGCAAGTAATCAGCAGAACATCCAGGCGAAAGAGAATGCGCAAGAATAGCCCGACAGAAAAGTGCAGAGCAGCTCTATGAGAACAAATCATAGAGCAAGTTGTGTGTCTCTATTGCTCTGGGTACTGCAGCTAACACCTGCAATCTCAGTACTTTGGAAGGTGGAGAAGTGCGTATGAGAACAAATTATAGAGCAAGCTGTGTGTGGCTGGGAACTGCGGCCAATGCCTATAATCCTAGCACTTTGGGAGGCAGGTGCAGGTGAATCATTTGATTGCCTGAGCCCAGAAGTTCAAGACCAGCCTGGGCAACATGGCAAAACCCTGTCTCTACAATAAATACGAAAATCAGCTGGGCGTGGTGGCACACACCTGTAGTCCCAGCTACTGGGGAGGCTGAGATGGGAGGATCACTTGAGCTGTGATCACTCCACTTTCCTCCAGCCTGGGGATCAGAGCAAGACCCTGTCTCAAAAAACAAACAAACAAAGTTGTATGTTACAAGAGCCAAGGGATAGTCTGGGGGAAGAGATAAGTGATCTTCACCTCCCATGCTTGAAACATGTAGTGTCTTGTTTTGTGGAAACAAGTAAAATCTTGCTTAATAATAAAATCTTTGATTCATGTAAAAATCAATACAAAAATACAGATAGTAAGAATTGATGGCATAAATTTTTCCAAATAGAGGGAATATGGAGGTCTTGTTCCTTTTCTGTATAGTTTCAAAACAGCTGTAGTCATGCAGCGGGAGTGAGTTCATGGATGGTAGAAGGTAAAGATGGAAAGGTTGGCAGAGAGAGGACTAGAAAGTCTGATCTGGTCATGGAAGGAGGTCGGCCTTGGGCCTGAGACTGTTGATGGCCTTTGAGCAGGTAGTAACCTGATCTAATTTTTAGGAATATAACTCTGTTGTTAGGGTTGGACACAGTGAGGAGGGAAGAGAGCTCAAATCAGGAAGACCAAGTAGAATGAATGAAGAGAAGAGGCAACTTTAGAAATAGGTAAGAGTTAAATTTTAGTAGCCATATGGAGAGAAAACGGACAATATAGAAAGAACTTACAGTAGTTCCTGGTTTGGGCAAGTTAGCGGAGATATTTCTATTCACCAAAATGTGGAACATAGGAACCAGAAAATGGGGGATGGGAACAGTAAAAATGGAGAGATTAGCTTTGCATATTTTAAGTTCACCACTCCTTTAAAATTAAATGGAGATGTTCACTAGGAAGTTGAATGTGCTGCTGTGGACTAGAAATAATAATTTCCATAGTCTGCAAGTCATTGACATTTCTGGAGCTGAAGCCATAGGTTTGCAGGAGGCTCCTCAGAGTTTTTGTAGAATGAGAAGTAGGAATATCAAGGATGAAGGTAAAACCCTGGATAACAGCAATATTTCAGGGTGAGTTAATATCCCAATACAGATACATGCATCTACACCTTTTCTGCATCTCCCTCCGTTTATACACCTCCCTCCGTTTATACTTCTGTTCTAGTCAAACCCCAAGACAAACTGTTACAGGTCTGTCACAGCTGTGCACACCCGTGGTCATTGGTCTCTATCATTACAACTCTTCTTCCCCACTTGCCACATGCCCGTTATCTGTTTGGCTCTTTTTTTACCCATCATTTTATTCCTATGTTCATTTTTTATTTTCATTCCATTCCTCTCTGTCTCTCTTTTCTTTACTCTTCTTTACTTATTTATCTCTTAATTTCCTTTTTCCCTTCATATTTCCTTTTTTCTTCCTCTTTATCTTGTGCCTCACCTTTCAGAATTTTTTTTCTGGATGTTCTTTTTTTTTTCTTTTTTAAAGATGGAGTCTTGCTGTTTTGCTAGGCTGGAGTGCAGTGGCGTGATCTCAGCTCACTACAATCTCCATCACCCGGTTCAAGTGATTCTCCTGCCTCAGCCTTTCAAGTAGGTGGGACTACACAGACGTGCGCCACCATGCCCAGCTAATTTTTGTATTTTTAGTAGCAATGGGATTTCACTATGTTGGCCAGGATGGTCTCGATCTCCTGGGCTCAGATCCGCCCACCTCCGCCTCCCAAAGTGCTGAGATTACAGGCATTTTTAATCACTATGCACGGCCTTTCCTAGATGTTCTTCATCCATTCCCTTCCTCAATGTTTATGTAGATAGCTTATTTTTGGCACCAGTAGTCTGTACTTTTTTAAAACATATGACTCAGTATAAGTCCTAAGCAACAATAGGCCCTTCCATGCCTGGACATCCAAACTACACATTTTGAAGAGGTTTATTTTAAATTCTGGGAATATGTTGGATTTTTTTTTTGTCATCTGGCAAGTTCTCTGTGAGAAAGAGCCTGAAACTACTAATCCAGTTGCCCTTGTGATCCTAGCTAAATATCAACTAATCCTCCAAGGTTCTGTTTCTGCTATATTAATTCATTATTCTACCTGGGTCTCTCAGGTAGTCACTAAGGTTATGTTATAAATTATGCATTGAAGAGATGGCCTTTGGCAACATATGGCCTGGATACAACTTTAGACTAAATGCCAATAAGTCATGTCAGATTTACATGGTTATTTACTAGATAATAATCTTAAAATGGTTATTTTCGCAGCATGTATCTCTTTTGGATTTGCTTTTTCTGAAAAACAGAGTATATTCTTTGTCAGACAAATTAGCCATGCTCATAAATACAAAACTTGCTGCTATCTTTAGATTTGAGCAGCCTTGTACAAACTATCACATTTCATAGAAATTCTTAAAACTTCTAATTGCCCAGGGTTTTTGGCCAAAATTCAAGTCTAAATTTGAAAGGTAGTCTTTTTAAACAGAAAAGTTAAAGCACAACATTAATCATAGATAAATTATCAGAGTGTTATTGATAGGTAATCACCACATTGTTTGGTCAGAACACTAAATTTAGGTGTGGAATTCCTAGAACTTCTCTGGGCCCTAGTCTCCTCATTTGTAAGTTGAAAGAACTGAACTAGATGATCTCTGAAGCCCTTCTCAATTCCAGAATATCGGGTTTCCTAGTAGGTAGCAGCCACTGGTGACACTACTATGCATTTACTATTCTAGAAGCTACCCTGTGTGGTTTACCATGTTTCCCTACTTAAACCTCCGCAGCAGCTCTTCTCCAGGCTCTCTTGGTTCAGTTCAAGCCCAGAGGTGACGGCTGGTAAGTGCTTTATCTTCCAGCTACATTTTCCAGCTTCACACAGGAGGCCCTCAATTAGAAGGGAAGCTGTGGGGAAATGGAAAAAGGGAATGAGAGAGAGGGAAGGAAAGGAACTGCCTCAGGTATAGATTTCAATACATTATTAGTTATTTTTGTCAGTTGGAAGCAAATGCTATAAAACTTTGCACTCATTCCTCCATGGGCTGGTTAGCCTATGTTTCCTCTACCACAGCATCCTGAGTCGGCCAACTCAAATATGTGCTGTTAGTCATAAAGACAAACTGGGCCCAAGAGAAAGTGTGGGTGAAACAAATTCATCAGTCCTTCTAGAAATACAATGAGAAGTCTGTCCTGTGGAGGATGAGCCAGCTGCCATCATCTGTACTTGTCACATACCAGGCCAGCTTCTCTGCTAGCTTAGAAGCAGGAGGACAGCAAATTCAAACACTGGATAATTGCTTGACATTTTATTGGGAGGCATTGTTAATTATTAGTTAAGATTGTTTTGTCTTCTGAAGAATTGATTTTTTTTAAAAAAAAAAACAGTTTCTGAAGGTGGGCCTTTATTAGAAAATGTGAAGTCTCTTCAGTTCATACTAACGCATGGAATTATTTAACATATAGGGAATAATGACTAGAAACTGACATGACCATCAGCTTTATTTTAGGACATGCTATAAACCTATCACAAAGCAATGACTAGTTTTTTCTTTCTTTTTTTTTTTTTTTTTATATTTTTTTTTTTTTGAGACAGAGTTTCACTCTTTGCCCCTGGCTGGAGTGCAGTGGCGCGATCTCGGCTCACTGCAACCTGCATCTTTCTGTTTCAAGCGATTTTCCTGCCTCAGCCTCCTGAGGAGCTGGGATTGCTGGCGCCCACTACCACACCCAACTGATTTTTGTATTTTAGTAGACACAGGGTTTTATCATATTGTCCAGGCTGGTCTCAAACTCCTGACCTTGTGATCTGCCCACCTCGGCCTCCCAAAGTTCTGGGATTACAGACGTGAGCCACCACGCCTGGCCAACAATGACTGGTTTTTTGTTCGCGTATATTAATTCATTTGGCCTTTACCTGGACTAATATCGCCTGAAACCTTTTCTTTAAAAAATTTTATGAAATTTATACACCTATTTTTATTTTATTCTGTAAGCAAAACAATTTTTGATTTTCCTTCCCCCAAATTATGTGTTCCTTTAAAGATTTGACATTTTGATGCAGCAAATGTTAAGAAACGGTGTGAGGTAAATTTCTACAAGATAAATGTTTCATACAGAACCACAGGGCAATGTACTCTCAAAATTAATATAAAATAACTTGAAAAGGATGTATTTATTTTTACCATGTTTCATTCATGTATAATTAAATGTATTTGTGTAAATGAAAATACCTGCATTTTTAA